GAAACCAGATGGCATAAGTTCTTTTCATTTGTCGGGGGCGGATGTGTGTGTGTGGAGGCATCCTAAGAGAGCTAGTGGCTGCCACCCAGAAGCCCTGCCTTTTGAAACCCAGCCAGCTTGGCTAAATTTTTTTCTTTTCCGGGGGGGGGGGGGCGGAGGGATGTGTGGAGGCATCCTAAGAGAGCCAGTGGCCACCCACCCTCCCATTCTGACTTTTTACATGTCACAAAATGAGTTCTGGGACTACCTGCAACTGAGAAGCAGTTTTGGGATATGAGATATGAGAGGTTAGTTGGCTTCTTCCATCAGTGAACATGCTAACAAGTCCTACTGTGTATATGCTGTCACACACAGATACTTTCAAATGTTAATCTAACTTATACCACTGGCCAACAAATCTCACCTGCAAAGGCACAGAAGGGAAAGGGATGGGACTCAGAGGCAGAGCATCTGCCTTGCATTAAGAAATTCCCAGGTTTAATCCCTGGCATCTCCAGGTAAAAGGATCAGGTGAGGGGTTATGTGGAAGACCCCAGAGAGCCCCTGCCGGAATGACAAGTTCTTCATTGTGTTTGCATCATTTTATTTGTGTGATATTGATAGCAAAGCTAATGCTGGAAATGTTGCTCTAAGGATCCTTCTCACGCTTCCAGAGTCAGTGGCAAGTGGTGAACGGAGTTTCTCAAAACTCAAACTTATAAAAACACACATAGACTACTTGGTTTGGCAACTATCTCAATTGAACATGCTGAAGCATCAGCCCTTGACCAGAAGGAATTGGTGACAAAATGTGCCAAAGAAAAGGCACGCAAAATCAGAATATGATGTGCCTGAAATGGAAACAGTAAAGAGACTTTAAATTTCAACACCACAATAAACAGGATTTTTCAAAATGCTTTGTGATTTGTGGTTTTCTGTCTTTTTCTTACAATTTTTTAAAAAAGAAATTAGCAATTTCAAAATTTGTGTTTTTAATTCTTCCTGGAAGGTGTGGGGGCCGCGGGGGGGGGGGGGGCAGAAGGGATCCTCGCGTAGGGTGCAAAATAAGCTGGGGCCGGCATGCACAACCAGTTTAAGAACATGTAGAAACATGACATGAGAAACATTATGTATTGCATGGAAGAATCTTGTGATGGGGTGGTCAAGAATTCCCATCCAGATAAGCATGATGTATCAGTGACAATTGTAAAACTTGGCTCTCTGGCAAAGAGCAAGAATGGCAATAACATAGCACGTGATACCCAGAAAGGAAATACTGTTGCCTTTGGACCTATGGAAAAACTGGGATATGTATGAGTCCCTTTGGAGAATTAGTTGCCCTTCTTGACAAGCTCGAGCGTGTCCAGAAGAGGGCAACCAGGATGGTGAGAGGGTTGGAATCCAAGTCTTATGAGGAGAGGCTGAAAGAGTTGGGTATGTTTAGCCTGGGAAAGAGAAGGCTTAGAGGGGACATGATTGCAGTCTTCAAGTATTTGAAGAGCCGTCATGTAGAAGATGGAGCAGGTCTATTCTCTCTTGCTCCGGATTGCAAGACTAGATCTAATGGGTGGAAATTACAAGGGAGTCGTTACTGGCTAAGTATCAGGAGAAACTTCCTAACTGTAAGAGTGGTTGAGCAGTGGAACAGTCTGCCTCGGGAGGTGGTGGATGCTCCTTCGCTGGACGTTTTCAAGCGGAGGGTGGACGACCATCTTTCGGGTATGTTGTAGGTATGTAGGGCTATCTTTCAGTATACTCCTGCAGAGTGCAGGGGGTTGGACTAGATGACCTGCAAGGTCCCTTCCAACTCAAACATTCTATGATTCTATGATTCTTTAAGGAAGTCACATGAACACGACATCCCCCAGGGAGCCAGGCATGTCATAGCATGAAAACAAGGCAAGAAGGCTCAGTCAAGGAGTTCCTGCTTGGTCCACACGCTTACCAAGATGGTCATCACTAGATTCTGGAAGTGGCTGCGCAGACCGGTCGTATGGGTACAAAAGAGGACAAAGTTTCCTTGTTCAAGCTTGCAAGCAGAAGACAGAACAAAACAAAAAAAAGCGACAAAAACGTCAATTCAAATGGATGGCGGAGCAGCACAGATTGATTTCAGTCAAGTGTCCCCCATCTATAATTCATGCATTTCCCGAACAAGAGTGCACACAATGATTGGCTGCTGTTAACAGTTAAAGCATATCGGTTTGCTGCCTCGGTATTACCTCAGAGGATAATAAAAACCTTTAGCCCTGCAGCCCACATGGCTCTTACATCTGCTTAGGGACAAAAAGGGATGGGGGAGAGGGAGAAAACAATGAAACAAATAGACTTACCTTCGGCACATATGTAAGGAAGAGAGATCACTTGCTAAACAAGAGATCATTTACTTGAAGGCAGATGACACAACCAAGTACAGAGTTAGGTGTGATGAAGGACTGTGCAATGAATGCCAAGATCTTTCTAGAAGTAAAGCTGTTTGTGGTGGCTGGCTTGTACTCTAAAAGGCACACAATGTATGGTGTGCAGATTTTTCTCCCTGCAGTCTATTTCATTCCCCAGAAGATGACTTCTTGGGGCTCCGTGACCCTCAGTTGAGAGCAGCCCAGATGTACATGAACTTTAAGAACCCCTCAAGGGCCTGGAGTGGACGTCAACGTATTGCCTCTAGAAACACTAGCTTTTAGCACTATACAGCCTCCCCAGCAAAATCTTTCCAGCCACCAGTTTCTTCTTCCACACTAACAATTTTAGCACTTAGCACACTCTCCCTTCACAGTGTGTCGTCTTGCAATAACATACCAGCTCTTGTCATGATCGCATCTGCAACTTCCCAAGGCATGCTGGGACGGCATCCTCATTGCACTGGTAGCCAAAAAGTGTATTATGTATTACAAGTGGGGCTATCCCACTCACCCCATCAGTGCTTCTTCTCCTTTCCCTCTATTTCCCTCACACACTTTCTCCTTCCTGCCACCCCTTTTCTTACTCTCTCTCCCCCCTCCATGCCTGTCACTTCCTTTCTGCCCCCACCCCATCACTCTTTCTGCCCCGTCACTCTTCCAGCCTCCCACATACTCCCTCCACCCCCACCCAATAGCAGAAGCGGCAGCAGCCGCTCTCCAGGAATCACAACAAATTGCCCAAATACAGAGATCAGTTCTTATTAGGGCTGCCAGCTCCATGTTGGGAAATTTCTGGAGATTTGGGGGTGGAGCCTTGGGAGGATGAGGTTTGATCTTGGAAGTGTCCAGCAGGGTATAATACCACAAACTCCACCCTTTAAAGCAGCCATTTTCTCAGGGGGAACTGATCTCTGTCATCTGGAGATCAGTTGTAATTCCAGGAGATCTCCAACCCTCAGGCAACATTAGTTCCCCTGGAGAAAATGACTATGGAGGGTGGAGTCTATAGCATTAGATCTGTCTGAAGCCTCTCCCCACCTCAATCCCCACGCTCATCAGGCTCCACCTCTCAAATATCCAGGATTTACCCAACCTGGAGTTGGCATCCCTATCTCCTTCCCACCCAACAGCCAGCCTACCTTTATCTGCCCCTCTGCATTCAGCTTTCCATCTCCTTTCCCCCTGCAGCTTCTACTGAGGAAAACTATGGTCTTTCTCCAAAATGGGGACTAAAGCAGTTTACACTATTCTCTCCTCCCTTTTCTCCACACAACAATCCTATGAGGTAGGTTAGGCTGAAAGTGTGTGACTGGTCCACAATCACCCAGTGAGCTTCGGCAGCAAGATGGGGATCTAAACCTGGGTCTCGCAAACCCTACTCTGAAGCTCTGACCATTATACTCAGGGGTAATTTCAGAAAAAGAGTTGCAGGAGCTCAGTAGCATATCTAATAGGTTATTAGCGTAATAACCCATTAGCATATGCCACGCCCCCTGACATCACCAGAAGTGATGTCAAAAGGGGAAGCAGGGGGGGGCATCTTCAAAAGCCTCCCCTTCCCGAGCTGGCCTGCCAAGGCGGGCTGGGGGGGGGGAAGA